GAAAGAGACCTAGATGAAAGTATTTGGTTCCCCTAAAGAATATTGGCAGAGTTAATATTCAAGTTCAAAAGAGCATATCTGAGCTTATAGAAATACTCTCGGTGGGGCTAACTGGAAGCGAAGTGGCAAGGTCAACAACATTTTGGGGTATCTGCCATCCCCCTTTTCATGCTCCTCCCCTTCCTACATGCTTCTTCCCTTCAGGTCAGGCAGTCAGGGCTCTCAACTGCTCTTCCACACTCTTCACTTATTAATTCTTACTTACTTCAAAGGATCAGATTGAAATCACTTACAATTTAGAGTAAATTGAAATCAATGTAATATCTATGGCTACCTAATCTATCCATACAGTGAAACTAACCCTTAACATTGGCATATATTTGGGGGATTAACATTTTAAAATTAGAATATGAAAAATGACAAAAGGCAAGAATATTCTGAAGTAGTTTGGGTATAGAATATAAAAAAATTGATGTTCATATAGTCAGTATGAATATTTAGGAAAACTTTTAAATACTAAAATAAAAAATTTTAAAATAGCACATGTATATCAGGTCATAAGATAAAGTTTAATACATTTGATCACGTTAAAGGGCACAAAACACAATCAGTCTAACCAAATTTCAGGCATGCATTTACATAAATATATTAAATTAAGAAAAGAAATTATACACTTAAACATCCTTTTCACCTAAAAAAAATCATTAAATCCACAGATCAACAATAAAAACCAATTCTCTGCATTTACCACTTCAAGATACAATTGTTCTATTTTAAAGATAACACAAATACACTTGTTAGAATTTATATGCATTATACATATATTATATATTACATAGATAGTGTGTATACATATGTAGTGTTTGTACAGATAGATAAATATATATACATGGGTGTGTGCACATGTACAGATACACACAGATGTACTTTAGGCCATCTGTACTATTATTGCTTGATTCTAGTGCTGAGCTGAATTAGTGTTGGTTGGGTGTGATCAGGGTCTTTTGCTTCAAACATATTCATCATGCCCATTGGGCTCACAATCCCCCACTATCAATGTCCTTGTCTTTTCTATATCACATAGTCACACTAGGCACTTCAATAAATATTTGCTGAATTAATGAATGGCTGGTTGACTGAATAATAGAAGGTTGGTTAAAAAATCAAATTAATTCAAATTTAGAGGCATTATCTGAGCCAATGACACCGCATGTTACTTTTCAGAAGAACATTCATAGAAATCCCAACTACTACATATATTAACTCTGCTGCCTCAAACCTGTACCTGCTTTTATACTTGTTCACACAGCCTTCTGCATCTTATTAACAGGAATTCCAGCAAGGATTGGTTCTGGTAGCTTCTGTGTGTGAGATTACAGACAAATTGTTGCTCTAATTGTCAACAACCTGAAGGAAAATGAACAACTAGAAAAACTAAAATGTATTAGAAGGATGATAAGTTCTTTAAAACTGCACAAAATTCTTTAAAATTGCACAAAATCAATCACAGATAAAGCCTCGAAAGATAAGGGAGTTTCTTTTCAGATTTGTCTTTTGCTTAGTAAGGATAATAATTCAGTAAATTTTTTCATTTTAATTAGATGGGTTTCTTTTAAATAAATAGTTTTCTTTCACATATCCTAGGCAATCAAGCTCCAAAAATTCCAATATACCTCAGTGTCATTTATCCTGTTACTACCTAGGTCTTGGTGAAATGCATGTCCAAAAATGTCCTGTAAGTGTAATGAGATATGGGAAATATCTGATACCTGATAAGGTCATCAACTTGACTTCTCAATAATAGTATTACAAATAGACTGTATTAATGCATTAAATCATATTAGGCTCTACTATAAATGAAATCTTACTTTATTCTAGGAAAGTCATGCCTCAGATTTTAAGAAAATGAGGTAAAGAAATATCCAACATATATTTTGGGCATAGAGTATACCAAACCTGATTATACATTGTTCCTCTGAATGGAATCCATTGGCTAGCTATTTCTTAGTTCAAAAGGAAATGTACAAGAATTAGTTTTTAACTGTGAAGACAAAGTTTATCTTATAACTTTGTCTTCACAGTTAAAAACTAGCTATTATGAATTTCCCATCACTGTTAATATTCTGTTCTTCCTATCTTATGTGCTAAAATGAAATGTCTTTTGAACTTCAAAGATTATAGCCAATTGAAATAACTCACCATACTTTTAAGTGAATTTGCATATATATGTATTTTGATTTTAAGTAAATTCTTTATCTACATATGCAAAAACATCTTGACTGAAACATGGTGTCTGACTTTGGGATGTATGTGAGATGTAACTTTAGAATTCATATTGATATTTTGGGGCATTTTTTGGTAAGCCACTATGTAGTCTGGCTTTAAAAAAAAAGCAATAACAGGTTTTAAGCCTACTTTTGTGTTGATACAAAGGATCCATTGCTTATTTTTTATTTTCCAACCAATTTATATATGAGCTATATCAAAGAAAGCAAAGTAAATGATGGACCTATCTTGGGTTTGCATTCAATGAAGAATTTAACAAAAGTGCTAATCTTCTAATTGAACAAATCTCCTCATGGCAGCTGGAGAAACTACTACTGTGATTGACAGGAAACCGGCACTACGCCCCTCCCTCCCGCTTTCATGAATACATCTTACTCGCCTGCACACCTATTTTAAGGCAACTTCCAAAACTTATGAGGAGATATTTAAGAGAAGGGAGTGTTGAAGTTGGCTAGGACTAGCGTTTGACAGGTTCTATGATCATGTTTTCAATATTTTTAATATTGAAATGCTTCTATTCTTAGGTTTCCCGCCTTCTTTGACATCTTATGAAATATTGGAAGTATGCCTAATTCGTGTTGGTGTGATGAAGAGAAAGAAGGTAAGAAAACAAACATATATTTCTTTTGGCTATTCTAAAGAGGAACTTTGCAGCTAATGCCAGCGTTCGCGATAAAAGGCCCACTAACTTCCTGTGGGTAGTATAGAAAAACACACATTTCCTGGGCATGGAACTGTTGTTTGAGTTCCCTGCAAATTCAGGTCTCAACTGGGGTGGGGAAAGGAGACTCTGCCAGAGTTGGCGACCTGCTCCCAAGGCGTCTTTAAACCAGCGGTCGCCAACCTTTCGGACCTGAAGGACCACCAGGGGTCCACGGACCACGGGTTGGCGACCGCTGAGTAGACGTTAATGGTTGTTGCCTGAATAGGAAATAGCTACTAACTTTCCTTACTGTCGGCTGAAGCTCTCTCCTGGGGATATTTTTGTGTCTTTCCTACAGCTGTGATGGAACACCAGCTGAACTGGAGCATGTGGGCTGGTAGTCATTTTTGCTTTTGGTCACTTCTTTCAATTATTGTAATAGATCAGTCTTGTATGTTTATCTATTGTTCTTCATGGTACAGAGTCTGAGCAAATGTGACATCAGGAGACAGTATTTTTTCAGAAGATTAAATAAAAGTCAATAACCAGCAAAATCAGTAGCAGCCTACCCCAGGACATCTTCATTATGGGTGTATTGGGGACATCTGTTTTGTTAAAAAAGAGAGGGGGGGGTGGGGAGAGAAGGGAGAGGTTAAAAGTTAGAGAGCTATATGGGGAAGGGGCAAAAGGAAAGAGAAGAGAGAGAGAGAGAAGAGAAATAGTTATCATAGGTAACATTCTATAGAGATGCTCAGAAACTTTATTGATCAGCCAACTACAGCTGCCTGTGGTATTCCATATTTTTTCCTTTTACAAATTTGGACTTGGTTTTTCTTTTATGTTTTAAAGCTAAGAAAGTTGGACTAGTAAAAGTTTAAATTTATGTATACTTTAGAAGACTCTAGTTGTGGCATCTAACCTCATAACTTATACCTAGCAGGCTTCATTGTATAGTACATGATTCAGAGATAAAAACAATATTAAAAGGCAATACAGGGTGCCCCCCCAAATGTATACATACCTTGGCAGCTATCAATTTTGAAAATTTTAATGAATGCTGCCTTTATAATTATTCAAAGTGTGGGTATACATTTTTTGGGACACCCTATATATTAAAAATTGTTAGTACATCATTATGTAATTATTTTCAAAGAAATAAATACAGAAGAAGCGCCTGTTCTGAAGTATGCAAATGAAGAGTTTTCTATTTAGGTTGTGTGCATATATTGAATGTGTAGGTTTCTTTGCTCTTTCTTTACAAGATAGTCCATTAATCTGAGAAAACATCTAAGTATTCTTTGCGATAAAATAAAAAAATATATTTTACAAAAGCCGCACTGAAACAAAATTCAAAGAAGAAAAGTGCTTTTTATCATCACTCAAATTTCTGAAATTATCCCTTCTTTTTCATTTTAATGATGTGCCAATTTCATTTTCTTCTCATTACCTTATATAACTGGCAAGAAAACAAAATTTTATTAACTAGGACAAGAGTATGGTAGAAGCAGTGGCAGGAAGTTTTTTTCCAATTCTTTCTAGTCTACCATAGCAGCGTTTCATATTAAACTGACGCCCACATATTACGCCAGAACAGATAAAGGCATAACAATATATGTATTTCTATTTCACTATTTCATCTTGATCTCACACCCCTGTGTTCACAAGGACATTTCTTCCATTCTGACTGTGTGCTCTATGAACTGAGCTGGTGGAGGTGCTGCCATTGTGAGAAGAAAGAGTAACTTTTCCTTAGCTCCCACTTTTTAACCAATTCCTATCTGTCCCTCATTATGAATCATTTAAGACAGTTCTCTGGTCACATATTTAAAAAATCTACTTGAAATAATAGTTCAAAAAATGTTTGAAATGACCACTGAGTTTAAAATACGTGGCTATCCTTGTCCAGTTTGTGTGGCTCAGTGGGTGAGCATCTGCCCATGAACCAAGAGGTCCCTGGTTCGATTCCTGGTCAGGGCACATGTCCGAGTTGCGGGCTCAGTTCCCAGTGAGGGGCAAGTAGGAGACAGCTGATCTATGTCTCTCTTTCTGATCTATGTTTCTATCTCTCTATCTCCTCCCTTCCTCTCAAAAATCAACAAAAAATACTTTACAAATAAAGTAAAATCTGTAGGCACCCATTAATCATTGCTACTTATGTCTCTCCTAAGAACAGAAAGAAATGACTCCAATGAGTTTCCTTTCTTTGCTTGGGTATGATATCCACAGTTCTTGTTATCATCTTTTTAGGAGACTGTGTTCTTTTATTCTAATGACTCAAAATAGAAAAAGCAATGACACCTGGGGTACATATGTTTTTCTAAGCCATCTTCCACTTAGGAAAGGACTGTATAAAAAACTGGAGTCTGCTCAATTTATATAGATATTTTTTAAATAGGAGAACTAATGACAATATAACACCTTGTCTATGGGAAATATTATTTTGGAAGAGATGGAAAGATTCAGGATGTAAGAAGAAACACTGGATTTTCCAGGTTTTACTGACTCTATAGCAGTATCCTTATTGTTTTCAGTGAAACTATGACCAGGAGAATGTGTAATAAAACTGCACAATTTGACAGATTCAGACAGCTGGCTCCCTCACAAAAAGTTCACATTTTGTTAATGTCACCACATTGAATAAGGGATGATTAGATGGTAAGGTCCATTTACAAAAATGGTTGTCAGGACATTTTTTTTTAAATTGTAAAACTTTCTGTGATGGAATTCAGTAAAAGGGCTATGAAGAGAAAGCAATGGAGACAAAAGACTGCTATTAACCTACAGATGCGGGCTACTGCAGGGTTCATTGCAAGATTTGTCACACTGTTGGGCCAATGAAGTGTTAGTGTGACTAGAAGGGACCACCCCTTTTCTGGGGTAAGAGGGCAATTTGGTCTCCATGCTCATTTAATTCTGAGACTTCTTTGAATAGACTGTCAATTGAATCTAAATTGTGCAAAATTATGCATGCACTTTTTAATGCAGCTATTGTTCACTAAGCACTGAACCAAGATTTCTCAACCCATTTCCATTTGGCATGAGGTCACTTGAAACTTAAGTAATCATATATGGAAGACAAGAGCAGTGTGCTTAACCAATCTTTCCACATTGTGGCTTCTGTATAAATGCTCACTGTGCTTTCACTGCAACCCTTCCTGCTTTAAATCAGTAGAGAAATACTAGTTACAAGATTTTATTCTTTTTCACTGAGGTTCCTATTCCTGAAAGGAAGGAGCAGGTTTGGGAAGTCAGCCTGCGCTGCATAATCTATACCACTCTCCAATTTAGATTCTGCAGGAACAGCTGTTTGCTGGAGGGCAGCCTGCCGTGGGCGTGCGCGTGTCACGGGTAGGTGTTTTTTTCAGTAGTGCAAAGAGGCCTTATAATTTTGTTATAATCCAGACATGGAGAGCTGGCCTTGAAAACCATTAAGAAAAATGTCTATCAGACTTGTTACAGTTGTGAGTGAGAACAGCATTTCTTTGAAAACCTGAATAGAACATTTACAGAAATTTATTCGTACATTAACCAAAGAGGAATTTCATTGAGATCTGGAGGAACATATACATGAAAAGTCATATTTGGCGAGAATTATTATATGAAAAGTTTGTACAAGGGACAGCTTACATAGCCAGGATTTGTTTAAAAGCGAGGGAGATCTTCTCCAGTGAGGTTCGGTTGATGTGCAATCTGTTACGCTCTAATCGCATACACTGACAGTCTTGCTACGGTGAAAAGCACTTTACAAACGTTTAATGCTGGCATTTTATAAGGTTTGGCTGTTTTCTTGCTTTTTCATCCGTCGTTAAGGATTACATGTTGGCACAAGGATACATTGCTAGATTAGATCCACAGCACATTTAAGACTGTTTGCTTTCTCACTCCCCTTCTTTCCAATTAAGATGGTGAAAAATGTAACTTTAGTATTTTACAGGACAGGGTAAAGGTGTTTCATCTAGGTGATGTCTATATTATAAAAATAAAATAAAAAATATAAATATGTAACACAAACCCAGTGCCTATTGTTAAATAAAATATACAATAAAAGCAGACCTTTTAGGAAGATTGGTTTTAGAATATGCTGTTATGATTTAATTATAAAACACTTGAGAACAATCTTGATATTAAGCTAGAGTAACCAGATTTCTCTGCCAAAAAAAAAAAAAGGTAAGTGCATAACATTCTGTAATTGGATACAATGATGAAAATGAAGATTACAGTTTTAAATCAAGTTGCCCATTTAGAAATTCATCAGGGAGTTCTGAAACATTCTCACATTATAGTCCTTTAATATAAAAATATTGCCTTTTTTATTAGATCCATCAGATTGCACAGTAATGGTTCAAAACTCCATTAAAGTTGACTTTAGTTATTACAGACAGAAAATTCCTGGGAAGTCAAATAATCTCTTCTGGTAATATAAAAAAATCCCGTTATCAATTTACAATGGAATTTCTGTGTAAATTACTCCACACAAGGAAATATATATATTTTTAAAACCCATCTGTTATGCAACCATACATATAGGGGTTGTGAGTGTGTGTACGTGCGTATGTGAACAGACGTGCCAACATACACACACAGAATCTGCACATTTCTGGAAACTATTTTTAAATTAATAAAAAGAAAATGAAATCACAGGAGTGTGTAGCAGGATAACAGTCTTTCTTTTTAATGACAGGATAAAAAATAAATGCCCATTGGAAAGGAATAGTCAAACAGTCCCAGAAACTATACAATGTAACTTGTTAGATCCAGCAAATAAGATGTCATGTCAATGATCTGATCAAGAATACCTGCCCTGGTCACTCTGCGGATGTTTCTGTCCACTTGTTCACACTGAGGACCAAGGTACCCTTTCTTACAGAGGCACTTGTTGGGTCGAACACACACACCTCCATGACGACAGGCTGGCTCACATTTTGCTGGGAGGAAAAGAAAAGAGCAATACAATCACACTCACGTCCTGTATGTCAGAAACAGCACTAGTCATCGATGAGTAAGGGAAGGGAGGGAGAGAAGGCGGAAGCCAGTCACAGAATAATCCAAAAGATAGTAAAGACAAGAAGGGAAGAACGCTTTCAAACCCAAAGTTATTTGCAGACCAGACCTCAGCAGAGAATGGGAGACCTTGCCAGAAAAGCATAGATCATGGGAAACAATTTTAATCCCTTGCAAAACAGACTCTTTAAAACAAGGATTTCAGTTCTTTGCAAGTCTCGGCCCCAGTAGGGCATTTCCATGTAATGCTATCTTCCTGTTCCCCCAGGGAGGACCTCAGTGTGGGAAGGGCCTGGCCCATGGGAGAGGCCATGGCTTGAGCATCTCCAAACAACATAAAGGGATGTTCAGGTGTGAGTGTCAGTTCTGATGCAATAGTGAGCACTTGGGCTTCCTAGAACCCCTCCTCATGGCTCCTACAAGGTACCCAGCATATGCTGCCTCTCAGAACACATGGAAGGTCCTTCCTGGGTCAGTGCAGTTGGCCAGTGAAGGATGTTCTTAGCAATCCTTTTCAGGGCTACTCTACAGCACAGAGTCTCTCCATAAAAGGACTTTGACCACTACAGTATTGGTGGGAATGTAAAGATTTACTGCTAAAATGAGATGGAGAGAGAAAATTGGGTATATAACTTAATTGTCTTTTGCTGATAGGATAAATCTGGGATGTATAGCCCTGTAGGCAGAATCAAATTCCTTGAATACATTTCCTTATACTTTCAGGGGACAGGGTCATTTTAACCTTTGCAACGCATTAATCAAAAAGGGGTCTGTGGTTGACACATGGAAAAGGGAGAACAAAAAGGAAATAGACTGTTCTCTCTTTTAAATTTGTGGGAAATGAGTAAACTATGTGAGTATTGGAATAAAATTCTTGCTTGGGTCACAAATATCACAAATGGTTTAATTTTATGAAATGATTCTGATTTATATGTTTAAATTATTTAAATTGATTTACTGGGAAGATTAAAGTACTTTATTGAAATAAAACTTAATGTTAGCTCAAAGAATATCTATTTTCATTTATATCACATATTATTATTAACTAGGGGCCCTGTGCATGAAATTTGTGCATGGGGGTGG